TTCTTTCTTCGCTCGACTGGAACAACGCTTCAGCCGGAAACAATTACCTTGTCCAATTTATCATTTCTTTCCGCGAAACTATCTCGCGAATTGCCATAAATATCCCGCGTATTTCGCGGAATCTCCGCTCGATGGATAGTCGAGTCCATCTTAATCCTCGCGCGATTGCATCTCTGGCCTAATAAACGATTAGTTTGTTATTTGTACGTTGTTGTTGGAGAAAAATTAAGCTGTGGAAATTTCATACGAAATTCGGTACTACCCTACCTCGAAGGAACCATTCCTCGTATACTGATTTTCCACTTGAACTTGAGGCTAACAGATAGTAACCTCCACAGAGTGTCGAAACGTTTGTGCAAACAATGAATGGAACGGTTCTCGTTATTGTTATTGAAATGTGTAATTGGCTAGTATCGTCGTGTATACAGCGAGGTAGGTGTACCTGGCGCGGCGAATATATCGCGTACAGTTTCCGGTACCAGCAGGGAAATGGTGTCTAGAGTCTGGGTACAGGGTACAAGGCGGTGGAAGGGACGGATTTGGTGATGTAGCAGCCTGAGATGTAGCCGCAAGCTATGCATGGAATGTTCCTGCACGAGTCGGTGGATAGAGGGCGCGAAAAGGGGTTGATCCCGGACAGTGCCATCTTAATTAATTTCCTCTCAATCTAGACTCACGCCGTCGAAGGATCCTTGCACGATGCTCTGCACCGACGTAATTCTGTACAAACAATACTCTCTTGTACCAATGACTCGATCTTGTCCATGCATTCCAATTAGGGGGTTAGCAAATGGCGACGCGGCGACTCGATCTGTATCTTCGTTTAGTCTCATTTTCTTTCATTCTTCTTTCCTTTCTGTGATTCGTTGACACGTTCACTGTCACGATTTCGGTTAGGTTTTGGTCGTGTTTTAGTCACCGTCGATCGGCAACGCTAATTTGCTATCAGCTTTGAATAGCAGCGTGACAGACTCGATCGCGACGAAATGAAGGAATATGTGGGAAGAGGGCAACAGGGAAGCTCCTTAATGAGATACGTTCCTAAGCGACCACCTTGTACAAATCCGATTGGGTCCGAATCGTAAGAACGGACGACTAGTCAGCCAATTGTCCCTCTGGAGTGGAACTGCTGATAGCCAGCCTCCGTTGCCACGGACTCAGGCCAGCCGGTCATCCGGAGATGTTATATTTCCCATCGAGTCTGCCTGACCCTGACAATAAGAATTAATAGACGTCTCGTCGTTGTCCGCTCGCGACAGCTCTTTTCTTCCATCCTCGGGGTTCATCGCCATTGTACGCGCGAATCTGGCAAATAATTTCTTCCTACGTTTCTACGGCCGATCATTCGGCGCGTCGTAAAGTCTTTGAAGGAACGAGTCGTAATACGTGGAACGTCGTGAGCCATTGAACAGGCGATAACTTTGATCGTCACGCGACGCGTATTATTTATTTCCCAGCGAAATTTTACAATCTCACCGTGGACTTTTATTACCGCGATAACCGGGCCTTTTCCTCTATTTTGTTTCTAACGCAGTCCTTCCGCGGAGGGCGTAGTGCAGTGTGAAAATTGATGTCTCTTAGCATAACGTCGTATAAAGCGTAATTCTTCGAACGAAAGAACGGACAGTGACGAATGGATGTGGGTCGGTGTCCTCGTTATTCCGACCGGTGGCTCTCTATTTTTTCCATTTTTCCTTTATTTTTTCCCCTTTTCCCCCGTCCTGTCCTTTTGGTCTTTTATCCTCGCCCCGCAAGTAGAACAATAACTACCGCCAATCGAAACTACGATCGTTATTGCGTCGGTCCGGTCAGTTTGCGCGAGACATCAACCTTCTCCCTTCTCGTCATGGCGTCATCCTTCTGCAGTTGCACCTGTCGCGCAAACCGATATCTGATATCGCGTTTTAATTAACTCAGTTTCACGGAATACGCTCGCAGCACGCGGCAACTTCGGATGTTCGATGGTAAAAAAAGAATCGGGCTACTTTTTCCGAAGATTCTGGTTTCTCTTTTCCAGGGAAAATATAAAGCGGAAAATCGAGGGAAGAGTACGAGATGTAAATGTTTTCGCAAATTAGAAGAGAACGAGCGCGGCTTGTTGTTCTCGACGCTTGGTATTTGCGGTATGCCGATTGTTTATCGACCAAATGTGGAATCGTTCAATATTATTCGGCGCTGATGAAGTTCAGAAAATTATTATTATATTATCCGACCATGGTTCCATCCGATAATTATTCAAAGCTCGCGAATTTATTACGCACACGACGCGGTATTGTTGCTACTTTATGCCGGCAGTCACCGCTCTCATACGTTCCAGAGATAGAAGCTATCGAGTTAACTATCCTCGCCCATGGGATCAAGCAGCGGCACGTTAGGAAGTTATAAGTCTTTAAACTTTAATTTTAAGTTGAACTCTCTGGCGGAAAGTTAGTTTAGTTTCAGCTTACTTATACCTTTGCGGTCAAGTTTCGAAACCTTAAGAACCCCCAAGATTTTACAATAAACTCCGAATGGTTTATATCCACGGAGCCCCAGAATCGCCGGAGTGTACGGCAGGACACGTGTACCACGCGTCGGGATTTTACAACTCTCGTTTCGATCGTCGACCATCCGACGCGATTCGTTTCGAACAAGATCGCGCGAATTGCGAACGGAAATATTGCACGCAAGAATTGTCCAGCTTTTCTTCTCGGTCGATTAATTAATTACCGGTAAATTAATAAATGTACACTTTCCAAAGGATATTTAACGTCTCCTCTGACTATTGGTCGAATCGACTGACTGATCAATCGACTCGATAATTTATTCTATTGAATTATTACGTGGCATGGGTGGCGAAAATGGCCGAATAATCATTCAAAATTAAATCCATCCTCCACGCGTATCAACTTCCTACGAGCTCTTTCCATTGCCGGTAATTCCATCACGAAAATAACAGCTCGTCATCCCGTTTATAAATCACCGTGGTTGCACGTAAATCGATAATTATTCGAAACGGTCGGTTCGACGCGTGCACGATGAAATAATATCCGGAATAATTTGAGAAAAAAAGAATGCGCGGGGTGATTCACACGGAGCCTCCGCCACTGTTGCCACCCCGTGGCCGATCAGGGTGGTGGACACGGCGCGGTGGGGTGCGGAGGCGACGATTCCGCTTTGGCCCGAGTCGCGGCGACGCTAGCGCCGCGCCGGAGGCTCCAGTCCGAGCCCAGCATCACTCGTGGTGGTTTCGCGCGCGCATCCCCCGCCAAGGTGCGACTGCTTTTCGAGGAAAATTCCGTCCTGACGATTCCGCCACGCTTTCGACCCCCTTTTCGCGCGACAACCCGTGACACGCGGCGAAACAATCGACGAACCGTGACACGCGGCAAGAGGATAAAAAGGACGAGGGCGAAGAGGAAGAGAAGTGGGACCATCGGCGCTTCTCGCGGTCGAAAGGAAAGAAGTTCGAGGGAAGCGTGCAGCGAACGGACTCGCGAACGCGGCACGATCGCCGAGCATGTGAAGAAGATGGAAAAATCGGCGGCAAAGGTACGCGAACGGTCCACGAGGAACGCTCGGTCGCAGTTGCGTGGTAGAATATCGAGGCACGCGTTCTTCGCGGGATCAAGGAAACGTGTCGAAGAGCAAACGCGAGTGACTGTCTTCACGATTCGAACGCGGCCACTTCCGCTCGCCTCGAGTTCGTAAACAAAAATTCTGCCGCCGGCTCTGTTTATCCCTCGGTCGTCTGTGACGCTTCGCTGGCTCATTTGTGCGCCGTAGCCTCGAGTCGAGGCATTACCAGGAGGTCTCCGTGTTTTCCTCGACACACGACTTGAGGTCGAGTAGAGGAGGGGAGAGGAGACCGTGATCGGTCGAAGACGGACAGTGTGCCGGAAGGACGACAGCCTCGAGGATCGTTTCGCACGGTACCGCGCATCCTCGCGCGTGATTTTCCCCGTTGTTGAGTGCGCGTTGCTCGAGGAGCAAGTACACCGGGTCCGCGTAATTCGACGGACCGACGAATCGTTGCTCGCGTCTTCGCTAAATATCCAAGCGTGATCGGGTCTCGACGATCCGCGTCGCCGCGTAATCGCGTTAGAAATGCACGGCGCGCTGTTCCGGCTCCGTGACGGTGCATCGTACTCGGCTGCTTGATTATGCGACAGTGCAAGTGCGAGATCCGTGGCATCGATCCGTTGATCGCCGATAAATAAAACGATCCGTGGCCGGCGAACGCGTCACGTCCGACGAAAGGAAACGCGACAGAGGGGAAAAAATAGAGCGATAAAGAGCGAGCGGGAGAGAGAGAGAGAGAGAGAGAGAGAGAGAGAGAAGTACAGAGGAAAGAAAAGAGGAACGAAATTAAAGTACGCGGGTTGGTTACTGGGGCGCGAATGATTTGTAGGTCGGATATTTCGAAAATTGCGACCGCCAGCTGCCTCAGGGAACCTTCCACCGAATGATGTCCAGATCGTCGGATCGATCCGGAATCGAAGCTTTCGCCCCGCGTTTCTCCTAACCGGGGACCGACTTCCTTCTCCCTCGTGTCTCCGCCCGCGTTCGTAATTAAGGCAAGTGTCGCGCCGGAGAAAAATTACGACTCCGTCTCGATGGAGTAAGAGTGTCGTTGCGGACCCTTCGACGTTCCCCGATCGAACATTCTCGCGCGTCCGTGTGCCGTTTTCGTTGGTCCGTTCGTTCGTCGTTGCTTCGTCGTTGCTTCGTTGTTGGTTCGTCGTTGGTTCATCGGCCGTTCGTACGTCCCGTATCGCGAAACACGCTCGCGTAGCACTCGGTCACGCGATAGGACGCCCGATGGACGAAGTCGGGTGTAATCGAGGCCTGTGAAAGTGCGTGCGTATCAGAACGTCGAGGGTTTTCCGAGTGACGAGCGTAGAGGAAGGTGTCGGAGAGAGAGAGAGAGAGAGAGAGAGAGAGAGAGGTCAAGGATTGCGGAGGGTGCAACAGCGAAGGATCATCGTTCCACGAGCTTCATCCACGATCGCGACGCTTGATTTCGCGGCATTGTGTCTGCAACCTGCACGCGCGGCCCGCTGGTTCAAAGACGAGGATCGGCCTGGCGTGCACGACCACGGGAGGACAAAGGAAATACGATTTACTCGGAGGTGAGCTTCTCCGCCGCTTTCTGCCCCCGTTTTTCCTTCCTCCCTCGCCACGAATCCACACGGAGAATGTACTTTTTTGCCCACTCGGTTAAACGAGGTTTCTCTTCTTTGAAATTCGATGGGGCGCGAACCGATCCGGTAACTTTGTTGCCGAATTTCGTGCCGGTATCAGCCACTCGGATGCCAGCTCGTGCGAAACAAACTTTCCGTATTCTGGCCCGTTGCGACTTCGTTTCCACGCTTCTATTCCGCGACGCGTGAACTTTCGTCGGTCGAATCTTCTTGCCTGTCGGCGTTCTAACGAAGCGGAGGTTCGGGTTAACGGCTCGCCAGGAGAGCACGGTAGTCGGGCAGGGGTTTTAACCGAAGGAGTAATCGAAACGCGTCCTCGAGTTTCCAGCGAATTACGCGCTGGGAGATATAGAATAGATTTTGACGACGAGGGGAAGAGTCGAGTGGCAGGAGGACAAACTTCCTATGGTCTTTATTAAAATTTCAGTCGGTCTTCTTTCCCGATAAAGTTTACCGATACTCCAAGTCGCATTAGGTCCTTCGAGCCTGCTTTCCCCGGCGCGTTATTAGTTTCCTCAGACAATGCCGCGTTAAATTTATTCCCACCACGCCGCAGTTCGGATACTTTGATACTTTAATCATCTTTCCTCGCATGCACCGTCGCGATTTATAAGTTCTAATCTTCTCCGGCGAGAATGATACGGAGAAGGCATTAAACATCTCGCGAGCGGAAGCCCGTAATCCGGATTTAACGAGGACCACGCGATATTCAGGGGGTGGAAAAGGTCGATGGAAGAAAAGGGAAAAATATAGGATGGAAGCGGATATCTCGTTTCCGCGTTAAACATACGCGCGCGCGTTGCAAAATGGACCGGCTCCTGTTCGACAAATATTTACGATATGATCGCATGACGAAATCGCTTCGACATCATCTAGAAAATTTATCGAAACAGTAACTTCGAGCCGGGCCCCGAATGTAAATATTCGTGCGAACCACCGAGTGTTCCCGTCGTAAAATGTTTCCTATATTTTATGCACGTGAACTGCCAACCTGAATCGAGCTAAACAGCGCGTAATTTGCCATGTAGCCAATTAAAAACGTTCGCGTTGAACAACTGCCGCGTTCAAACCATCGATCGTCATTTTTAATCGGCGACACGTTCCTCTTTACGCATCTTTGGTCAATTTTCGCTATTGTAACATACGCGCGAAAATTTAACGATCAGTCACAAAGACGAAATGGAACCTTTTCCCGACAGGGGACAATTTTTGACAGTCTCGCGACTAGAAAATCTCGTGCAAACGGACGCGCGTGCTCTATTAAGCGGGTCTAACGAAATCGAATAACGACGGTCGGAAAATCTGATCATTTTTGAATATCAATTCGTTTGCTGCACTCGCCGTTCGTAATGACAGCGAGCTGCACTCCGGCGCGTGATATTTTTCGGAAACAACTGCTGCCACGGTAAACAGGATTTTAGTTTCAATTTATTTAATAATCCCTTCGAAATCACAATTACTCGCGCGCGTCGCTTTCCCTCGGATAATTTCCGAAATTCAGTCGCTCGTGTGAAGGGGAAATAAATTTCCTAACTGATAATGAACGCCGGCAAGTAATCCCTTTTACGTGGAATTATTCTTGTTACCGGTTTGTTCGACCAGAAGCCGAGGAAATACTCGCCATTCAAACTATCCGACCACGTCTCGCGAGCCTTTCGTCGATTACGCGCCTAATGGCAGCTCTCGAACGTTCCTCGTCCCATGCTACGCGGTCGAGGGATTTTTACGTTGCCGGAAGACGGGAGAAGAACATTCTTGGCGGAATGGAAACGGCGTACGTGAAACGAAAACGTTCGAGGTATCGGGGCTTGGAAAGGAGCAGAAGCGCCGCGGAGAGGAGCGAGTATAATAGACGAATCTAGCGCGAAACTGAATTGATTGATGGAAGAATGAGGAGGTTGGGCAACGCGAACAGGGTGCAGGGAATAACTCGGCGAACAAAAGGATGGAGAGGAAATAGTTATGCTTGTGTACCGAGCCCAGTCGACACCTAGGATGCTCGAACGCGGTTAACTCGAATGCTTCCTACAATGGCGACAGCACTGGCAGTCATCAACCAATTGCTCCGGTTAGCGAGCTTCTCCAGCCTTTCTCGCTGACAGACGTTCGCGTCGTTCCACTCGGACCGTGCAGTTTCATCCGATTTGCCTTTCGGCTACTTTTTCACCGACTATATTAAAGTCGCGAGTCGAAAGCGGCCCAACGGAATGCGAAATTTCGCAGGAATTTACGAGGAGCGTCTACGTGCCTGTGCGGGACGCAACGAAATTCGTCGGTCCAATTTGGCAGGACTTTGATCCGAATTTACACGCACGAGATTGCACCTACGCTGCTTTGCAGCGGTGCGCGTCGCACGGAGGATAGTCAAAAGTCCATGGGCGTGTTCCCCGGGAAGTTTTCCTCGTTCCCATCGACCGTTTCCTTCTCTCCCGCCACGCGGTTCAGGGAAATCGGTCTTGAAAGTTTCCACCTTTCCAGAGACCGCTCGGTGATCCCGATATACACGATTCGAATCGCAGCGTGTCAGACTTTGCGATTATTCTATTTCGAGATAGAGCTCGGCTGCATCGGATAAACGTATCTTCCCGGGTGATCTAGGAACGAGGAACAACGGTATCAGCGCGTGGAATAATTTTCCCACGTAATAAATTCGCGATATCGCGGCTAGTCGTATCGATAACCGTGCGTCATAATGTATCATCGTGGACCGCGGTGCCACCGGTTAGGCGACCGCTGCTGCGGCCGATAAGGCATCTTACGTTACGGTCCAGTTAATACGCGTCTTCGCGACCGGTTTCGATTAACTCCGAGCACGAAGATGAAAGCTAAAAACGATTAATTAACGTGCATCGAGATCTCCTTCTTAACGCGAGTTTTTCCGTACTGCGTTCCTCCGATACTATATCGGACAGCCTGTTGGGTACGATGGCCGGTACGGAGCGGCCATTGGCCTTCCGATTAGAACGCGACTGGCAGTTAACAGTGGCAAAAAGCAGCGGATATCGGGGGTGCAAAAGCGTGGAACCGACGGCGGAATATGTAATCCCGTTTCCGTTCAATATTCAGGAAGCCGGCTGTGCCACAAACGGGTCAAACTAATCACTCATGGGCTCGCGCGGGCATAACGATTCTATACGTTTCACAGCGAAGGCCGATTAGCAGATTTGTCATGCGACCGGGATATTCCGGCTCGCGAATACCCCATTAGTGGCCCCGGTCAGACAATGGCCGTATGCAAAGACGGAGGCAGAGTCTGCTAAGTGAACGCCCGGCCTGATCAATGGGGATCCTATATTTCGTGGGAAACAGTACGTCATCCTGTGAAACTCTGTGCGTGACATCGTCCTTTTCACTTTGAAGTGGATTAATGCGCGACACGCGGGACCGATGTTACCGCGCTTGCGACAAGAGCCGCGTTACAACGTGTACTATTAGCCGAGTGTACTAGACGCCGCGAATTTATGGCCGTCTCGAAAAATCTTGTCTCCTCGCTGCTTAGTCGTTCAAGGTCCGCTCGAGTCACCCGGAAATTATTCCAAACGCCGTTACACCCCTGTCAAGGGGGCTCCGGCATCGAGCGACGCGCCCTCGTACCGTTTCGTTTGTTTATTATCGCAAGGGCGAGAATTCACTGTCGACGAATCCGGCACGACGTTGCAGGAGCCAGACTAAGTACACGGCGTACTTGGCTAATTGTTTACGCGCGTTAATCCGCAGGACGACTCGCGAGGATTACGGGTTAATTGTTAATCTTACGCATCTCTGTTTAGCTGTCGCGAGACCCTCGAAACGTTGAACGCAACGATCAGGCTGGGAAAAGACAGGTACAGGTGATCGACACTTCACGTTTAACAATCTGGTTGCTTACTACAGCGATCAGTTTCGTTTGACCGAGTACAGTTTTTCAAAAGGAATTCGGTACGAACTGGTGAGAGGACGACAAGCAGGATAACGATCGAGGACGTTTCCGAGGGAAGAATCAACGTATTTATGGATCTGGTAAATTTCCTTGACGAAGTGTCACGTCTCGCGGAATATACTCGGTAACGTCCTCGAGTCTTAAATTCGGTCATCGACGAAGCCATCGTGGAAACGAGATCACGCGTCGCTGAAACATCACTCGCTCGTTTAATCGGCTGCGAGATATTTATTAACGCGTAATATTCGGTGGCACGCTGGAAAAACGTCGCTAATGGTTATCGGTGCTGATGTACGAGGCAAGAGCGTAATAAACCAGATATATTTGACAGAGTTACGAGCGCTCGAGAGAAGCATGGAAAACGCGTTACATTTACCGTTCGCGGGGGTCACACTGGCATAAGAAATCGCTGGGATATAATCCTTTGACACGGGAATGTCGGCTTCTTTATCGAACTCGCGTCATATCATTGAAATCACTTTCATCGGATCTTCGTATCTGGAGTTAAGCGACGGTTTAAAATTCTAGAGCGCGACTATTTCGTCAAGCTGTGCAAGTTCATACCGAGAATGCAACCGTGTGCGAGGATAATTAACTTTGTACGAGAGCTGCGAGTCACGGGGCCACAAGGACCTTTAAAAATTCGTGGTCGAAAATAATCGCCGATTCACCGCGCGATCGTTAAGCCGTTCGAGGAACCGTTCCAGTTCGACAAGGTGCTTGCACGCGAGAACGTGCTGGATTCGTCGCAGCTCGTATCGATCTGTAACATGGCAATTAAACGACAAGCTTCCGCATTTATTACAAAATTTGAATTCCATTTCTTATCTCGCCGCGGTTGCGATAAATATTCATGACGAGCGCTCGTAAATACCGCGACATTTTCGCGCCACGCCGCTCCGCGGTATCGAGTCGTCGCGAGTGTCAGCGCGCGATCGAAGAACGTATCGACTCGACGATCGGGTTATAAATCGGGTTATAAATCGGGTTTATTAATCCGGTCGATTAATTTTCATTAATGTAGCGTTAATTCGCGCGGTGTCCTATGGGAATCCTCGAGTGCAAAAATATGCGCGACGTCCGCGTCGATACCGAGACATTGCACAAATATGGCCGTGTTTGCGTGGTTCCAAGCACGCATCCACGCATTTAATGCTTCCACTTGACACCAAGCCCGGAGCGATTTACATTGTCAGTACAGAACATGGCAAAGCAAGCAACCCGTATAGCGCAATTTCGCGATGGCGATACCTCGACGTTCCATAAATACCATCACCCGGAACGGAGTTAAGAACTGACTTTATGTCCTCGATCCGTGTACCGTTCTACCATCTCGCCAGGGCCGCCATTAGACGTCCGAATTTACTGGACACTCGTACAACTAGCCCAAGTACGGGCTAGTCGAATAATTCCCTAGATTCAATTCGCGAATAACTTTATTTGGCCGACTGATTCATCATGTATTCAACGGAGTGAACGAAACGCGCGTGTTACCAACGGGGTAGACTTCACTTGCGCGAATTACACAGCGTACAATAGTCGTCGATAATGGCGTCGATTGTTTCCGTTTAAACAGCAATCTGCATTAAGTTCGCCGGAAGGGTGCGCGTCCCGATGCGCGGATTACGTCGTTTAAAGCAGCGACGCCGCGAAATTACGAGGAAAAACCCTCCTCCCGGCTTGTTCTACGTCTCTCGCGATACTACCCCCTCGTGTCCGTGCCAATACCTCGAAACGAGTACGTACAGCGTCGAGAGACGATTACCCTGAAATCGAGCACGTGGAAACGGCGATTCGAGTTGTGTGTGTGTGTGTGTGTGTGTACAGGTTCACGGGAGCGTGATCGGGTCGCGCGGTTCTCCGGAAACTGTCGAATTTCACCTCCTGATTCTTTTATTCGATCCGTGCTCGTAGTCTTTACCCGCTCGTTCGAACGTCCTAGGTAACGTACCGGTCCCTAGCTCTGCTGCTGCTTCCTCTCTCACACGTTGGCAGTCTACCTCTGGCAGTCTCTTTTCCTCTCTCCTTCTCTCTGTCGCCCTTGCTACTTGCTCGAGGAACGAGGAGGTAGACGGAGCGAGCGAGGAAGAGGGGTGTCCGTTGAATAAGGGTGGAGACTTAACGTTACGTTAGTTTAGAAGCTATTGTCGGCGGAGGGTTGCACACGAGCGCAGCGGAGTCGTGACTCGTGCTCTCCCGCTACTTGAAAGCGGTAATACAAGGGGTGGTTACGGTTTCTGACTCGACTGCAGCGGATACGCGTATGAATATTTTACAAAAATGCACGCTTCAAAGAACCCAGTCATATCCTATTCACGGTTACTCGAATTCGCAGTGGCACACGGTGCACGCCACCGTCGAGTCGTTTTAAAACAACTATCGCGCGTGTTCTTCTCGAGCCTTGTACCCGGTCCACTCCGTTGCGCCGTGCCGTTCCTGTGTTTCGAATAAAGGTCGCGCGACATTCGGGGGTAGATCGTTAAGCCCGCTTCGCTCCATCCGCGAGGCTGCTTCGCGAGCTTATAGGGGTGGATACGTCGCGAGGGGGATAGTTGTAAATGAAGATAGATAAACATTACTCGAAGACGTACCGTGGCTATTCTTTCGGGGGTAAGATAAAGTTTCGAGACTTTCGGTGCCACGCTGGAAACTCGTGCGCGTGTAAACCGATAACAAAGCGATTCCTAAGAAGCGTTCCACGTTGTTTGCAGCAACGTACGCCGCCAACTTTCCTTTGGAAACGAACTTGCCGCCGAGACGCGACTGAAATTTCTTCCCGCGACCGCGAGAGTTCCGCGATCGTTGATTACGCGATTAAACGGTCCGGTGAAACTCGCGTCGTTTATCACGAATTCCCTTTATCCCGGTGAACCGAGCGCAACCCCTGCGTCCTCCGAGGGGCCAATGGTCTTCGAATGACGAGAGATTTATTCTCACGCGTTCCTTCGATACGTCACACGACTTAATCGTAAATTGTTCCCGCCGCAAAGTCTTTCAACGCCAAGTCAGACAGGACATTTATTTCCCCCGGCTCACGCCGGCCATGATTTATGACCGCGGATCGGTTTCATCGATTTCTTTGATCGCGATGGCGCATTAACCGAATCTTTCCACCGCTATTACGCCCGCCGTTCCCTTTCTCGCCGATCGAATCGTGCCGTTGAAAATGAGATTTCACGGATCTTGGAACGAAGTTGCTCCGTATTCCGAGCAGCGAAGCGGACGGCGCTGCTTCTCTGTTTGTTCCCGGCATACATCCTTCGCCCTGTTTGCCAGCCCTGCGAGCAGGAAGAGTCCTCTCGCACGAGACACCGTGTGCGCAACCGCGTCGCGCGAAAAATAATTACGCTCTAACCGATTTCCTGGGAATTAGATCGTCCCTGGACCGTCGATCACTGTCGTTGGAAAATTAAACACGCTCGCCGTGTTCCGTCTCTCGGCTCTTTCGACCAAGACGCATACCACGATAAATCGATCATCGATCGTTTACGCGACTCGTCGCGTTGGTTAGGGGTAGTCGGCCGATAAACCCGTCGTCGCGAGTGAGAGTCCCCGCGAGTATGCGAACGTCGCGCGAAACCTCCCAGAGTGCTTGAAAAATAAGGTGTTTGCGCGGAGAGGTCGATGGTGGAAAGAACGAAGAGAGAAAAGCGGGCTGCAGAGGGGGGTAGGTACGTAACGAGCTTCTGGAACGACCGTCCAACTCGCTGGAAGTTCATTTGCAAAAATTTTATTGCCCCGCGCGCGCGCGACTTCCTTTCCCCTTCTTCCTCCCGCGCATTTTGACGTTTATTAAATCCTCTTTCTTTGTTTCTCGCGCCTTTATTTCCCCGAACAATGGTACACACGGTCGATTCTCGAACCGCGAAAAAATTCTGTTTCGCAGCTTTGAAAAGAGCTTTCCCTCGTTCGAAAATCGGTCGTCCCTCTACACGTCCCTGGCTCCCCTATTTCGTACAAATGACCCTTTCACGCTCCTACGGAACGTTCATTAAATTAAACCGGAGTCTGCAGTGCGAAAAACTGAAATGCGACAAAATGGCGGAGGGGAAGCCAAGAGATATGGTCAAACGGCGCGAAATTCGATCGCGAATCATAGTCTCTCCGAGAACCGATCGTCCGACCGATCCGGGCCTAACCTTTCTCGGCTTCTCTTACGATTTCTTCTCCGTCGGCTTCTGCTGGAAAGAACCGCAAGGAAAATAAAGCAGCAGTAGCAACGGTTTCTCCGCTAAATGAGATTTTGATACAGCGATCGGATCGCGCTGCGGCTTGGCGCTGTGGCGCTTCGATAAGAGGGTGGGGTGTTGGCTATGACGGTGGTAAGGGGCTTGATTTATCGGAAATTAATATGCTACGCTGTCGAGGCCGGGCGAAAACACCTCGCCACGTTCGTCGTTGGGATGCAACGAGGCTAGAAAAGGGAGGAGCGCCGCGGCACGAGAATTTAAAATAGATTTGCCGGTGCCAGGAGCTCTTGGTCGCTCCTTCGCCGGCTTATCGGGCCTAAGAAGCTACGTAACGAAGCGTGGATGGCGCTGGCTCGAGCATATTAATGTTGCTCGGGAACCGAGTCGCCTGGCGAAGAACTGGCCCTGGACTCGGGGGACGGAAGGGCTTCCGAACTGCGGAGATGGAGTCCCGTGCTCTAGAAACGAATTCGGGAAATGAGGCAGAGCTTGCTCCGAGTGATCTCGACTTGTGCCGTCGGCCGACACCCAACGGGGATATCGGGAGAGCGTGGTTCCAGCCACGGTAATCTGGTCTACGTTGCCCCGCGATTGCCACGATGTTCAGGTTGTCATTCTCTCTTTCTCCATTATTATACTCGCGGAGGTTTTCTAATGACCGATGGTCGAAAACGGTCACGATCAGTGGCCTAATGCATAAACGGTGTACCATTTATTCGTCTCGAGACTCGGTCCCGGTTACAAGGTTCTCGGTACTGTTACGCGTGTCGAAAAGTTTCGAAATTAACATCGGCCAAGGAAAGTCCGTGATACCGATACGCGAAACACGCGGCCGCGTTCGTTGCTAGATGCCTCTGTTGGAATGTGTGCGTGACTCGAAGAGAAAGCAGAGTGTTTGTGTTAGTATGTGTATATATATATTCGTTACTGCACCGAGAAACGTGTCGCTCCCATCACTGTCTTTTACAATGTTACCGATCGTGAGCTTCTCGGTCGTTCTGTAGGCACGATGCCGGCTTCGTTTTCAGGAAGACACGAGACAGTCGCCTTTTGTTCATGGTGAGAGCGAGCACGTGCTGTCCGGGTATAATAGAACTGAATTATAAAACCTTTCTTGTCACTTGCCATTTTTGTTATAAATAAAAACCGTTGGAAGTCAGCTATGTCTATGCAACGGCGACGACAGACCTGTTAGAGGTTGCAGACCAATACCGACCTTTGGACATCAGGGGGTCAGTTTTGGGGGGTTAAAAGGGCCTACTGTCCCTCGGAGCTTTTCATTCTCAGATCAAGAACAGTACAGATACTTTATATATTGCGACCCACAGTGGCATTAAATAAGACTCTAGTGTTTCAATTGTATATTGCATAGAGCGTATAAATCTCACGTATATTAAACCTTTATGAATACAATTGCTGTATGTAACTGAATACTGTTACTTCCTTGCACGTTAATCATTTGGCTATTTCCTTCACGAAATTCTCAACAAAAACCACTATAATAAGGCAACACGAGACTGCCATTTTCTATCAATTATTTAACAGCCTCGTGCAGGGTTGCGCGTAGTCGAACTCCGTGATGGATGAAACGATAGTAAACGATACGCGACACGTACTAATTGGCAATTTCGTTGTTCGTTTCAGGAGTTGCATGGAATAACGACGCAACGATGATCAATATGAAGTTTTTTCGCGTGGTTCTGGCACTCCTGGGAGGCACGCACGTCCTCTTCGCCCAGCCATCGGCATCGCCCACGGAGAAGAACATCGGTGAGTCTCTCTTCTTCCTACATTTAGGCATCGATACGATGATGAAGAAAGTTCCGTCTGTACGGTAGCTGTGAAAGCCGGGACGAGCCGTAAAAGCAGAATACTTAGCAATTATACCACTCGTCCGAGTTTTATTCCCGCGGGAAACGGGGTCAAACGTATCCGCTCTTGGAACGTTGCTGCCCCGCCGAAGACGTTATGCCGCAAGACCGGCGAAATAATCGAAATCAAGATCATCGACTGTTTAATGAAACTTTTGCCCGCACTGTCAGAGAAATGTGGGTCAAAGTATAACGAAAGGGGGAGAGCGAGGGAAGAAGAACGTCTCTCTGTGCCTCGAAAGTTTTCCACTCGAGATCCTTCCATGAAAACCGTAGATTACATGCAGATTTCCGCTCCACCCCTTTCTAACCGGCCCCTAACAGTTTCGTAACGAAAGCAGTTCGCTCGACGATTAATTTAAAACATATCCGTCGGCGTTTTGAAGTCTGGAACAGAGCAACGTTATCGAGCCGCGGGTATTCTTTGAAACGCGCACTTTAATCGCGGGTCGGGCTCGGTGCTCGCGAGAACGCTCGAAGCTAGAAAGCTCGTATCGTTCCAGCAGGTGCGGTTAGATAGCGACGAAAGCGATAGCGGTACCGCCGGCTTTCTATGTAATTAACGACTATCCATCCTCTCCGTAATTATGAAGCCGAGGGCGGTAATGAAATCTCTACAAGCGGCAACTCGCGTGGAAACGAAGCGGCATGCGAACGAGTTCTGTCGAGAAGACTGACGACCGATGTGTACTTACGTATTGTAACCGTGTAATTATACCATCACGTTTGACATCCGTCACGCGACTCCGCTTACCCGCCTTCCCACCCCGCCACCACTCTTCGTCGCTTCGTTAATTCCCCGTTCACCTTTTCACCCAATGCTTTTTTCCCCGTACGATTCGCGAAATTGGCGAAACCCGTTGCTTTCGACGCAGGATCGAAAGCGAATAGCGTCGTCGATGCTTTAGTCGAGTAGGTGTCGCAGGTGTAGAGTAGAGACATGTCAGCCGGCCGCGATTAGCAATCGATTCGCAAGTTGAATCGATCCTGTTGCACGCGTATAGGGATTTATCGAAGATAAGAAGTTGTGGAGAGGCCTCCCCATGGTTGTCGAAGTCGTCTCTGGTCGCAGGGATCCTCGATGTAGCGGCGGTGCTAGAAGGGACGAATGGAAGAGGAAGGGGTGCGTTTGGTCCTGGGCTTGTTGATGAGCGACGAGTGAATTCATCAGTAAGGCAACCTAGCAGGCCTTGCCTTAAACGGGAGGACTATTGGAAAGCTTGGAAATTGTATATATGGGAAACGGAGGGTTTTTACAGAGAACTTGCGAAAAAGTCCTCGAACCTACTTCAAATAGGAATCCATCTATCGACGAGGGTGAGAATAAGGCTGCTACAAAGTACAAAATATTCTTACCTTTAGGTTTGTAGCCCATACCGACGTTTCCTCGCGTCGCAACGATCGAGGAACAAAATGGCGGTTCCCGTGCTTGACATGGCTGCGAGAAAATGGCGCTTCGCGTGTTTCTTTTCAATCGCATTATATCGAATCACAGGTTTACGAAGAGAAATTGAAGCATTTGCAGGAGGTATTTACCTGGAAACGCGTATATGAAAATTTGAACGATATACGACGGTGGAATTTTTCATTTTCTTCTCTACCACTATTAATAGGGTGGACCGATCTTCCTCCGGTTATACCTTTGAATGACGCATGACGGTAGAAATTTTCATTTTCCTAGCCATCCCCGTGAATGCGATATAACCTTTTGATTATACGTCGTAAATGACATTTAATTGCAATATTTTCCGCAAAGGATGAGCTTTTGACGCTTGATCAAAGACATTTCGAGGTACACCGATGAAAAGTGGCTCTTTATTGCGTCTCGTACCTCATCTATTCACGCTTGTATACGAACGAGCAGCGCAAGGGTCCGCCAGCCACGCGATTATCTTTTCCACTCGCTTCTCTCCTCGCAACTTCGCCATAATCGTAAACTAAACCTGGCGAGCATTACGTACGAGCACGCTTCCCAAAGCTCTCGCAGGCCAATGCGAGAAACACGCTCGATACGCCGCGTGCCCCTTTGTCCCGCGATGTTTCCATTAAATATGCCGTAATTGCCACGTTTCGGCAACCTGATAGCTCGTAATCACGTGTGTCCGCGTTCCAACGAATTTTACTTTACCACCGCGTTTCGTTCGTACCAATTTCCAACGTGATCAACTAGCTCGTTACACGCGTTTTCACTTCGAGCAGACCGCTCGTTTTTTCGAATAATTCCCCGCCGTGTATGATACATGGAAATTACGCGATTGAAAGTTCCATTGCGCGGCTGTTCGCGCGGAAAAATGATATTGCCCCGTAAAGCACCGGTAATTTATCGAGTAATATCGCGTTCGAGCGGAGGAACGTTATAACGTTTATCGCGGGCGTGAAACAAGACGCGTAGTTGAAAGGAAGAGAGCCTCCGTTCGGGCGCCATAAGAGCCTAGGGGTGCGCGCGATAAATTCGATTCCCATATTCGTCATCGAGTTTAATGGTCGAAATTCCGCGACGTGTTTCGAGTTTCCGTTTCATTGAAAACCGATATCGATGCATGGCCTCGGACAGGCCAGGCCTGTTCCGTGTCGTGCACCAACATCGACTTTCCGTTAAGGTGGTCTTGCGTCGTCTAGTTGTTCGAGTGCCACTTGCGCCTTGATTACGTTCGAGCGGAAAAAGCCGATATCGCGGACATTCGCCGTTTTCTCGCGGTTTCTTTGCTCCTGGAATAAGCATTTCCTTTTTCCCCTTTTCCCTTTTCCCTTTTCCTTTCTCCGGTTTCTTTCCTTTCTCCACCTCGCAGATAGCTTTCTTTCAGTGTTCGATCACATTGTTCCATCCCGCGTAATACCGGTCCGCGTCCGCTGTTCCGCAAACGAATTCTTTCGTTGGAATCGTCGATAATCAGATAGGGGATATTTATTTGGGAAGTTTTAATTAAACAAGCGCGCCGATAAACGGGTAGAGTCGTCTCGCGGAGGATAACTCGGCGTTTGCAATACGCGCGCGAGCCGTTATCGTTCGTTGCTCGATACGATTCGTATATCCTTCCCGCCGGCATTTCTGGAAAGCATTATACCGAAACATCTGTACGATATCGTAAATTTGAAGGCGAGAAAATTCATCGGTGCCCGCGCCCCGGCTATGGGAATAAAATCGATCCCAATGCGGCACGCGAGGGAGAATCCGTGAAACAGAGAGACGCTCGGATGGAGACGAGTCGTTTAAGTCGCGATTCGATGGTCGATTTATCAAACCCGGCGATGACAGGGTCGGCAGGTATTACCGTGATACTTTTCACCCTGCCATCGAGTTTCCATCGAATTCGTTTCGCATCCTTATTCCGGCCGGGATTATACGCGATGGCGTGTATAATGCGGTTCACGACCCCGATATCATTCGGCGGAGGGTGCAGAGGACGGAGAAAGAGGGAGGTTCCTTGCGGCAATCCTAGGACACGGTAAAAACTAAGATTACTATGCAATGCAATCAGCGGTGTACCGGGGTTCTTTCAGATTAAAACACAGTCCGGGATTACAGGTCGAAACTATTGTTTTGCCAAGAGCCGCGCCGAGGCAGATTGTGCGACCGGGGCGCGAGTGCTCGGGCAAAAAAGCCGTGGTTCGAAGGTAGCCGTGTCGAAAGAAAATTCCACGGTCAACTCGCGGGTTGCTCGTCGTTATCAACCACGTTCGTTTCGTCGCGCGTTTCGACGCTTATTCGTCAACGCAGTCGCCGCGTTTCAGCTCTATCGCCCGGCATTTGCATATTCGCTGGCCATTTTTACAAAGGTCGCGAAATTGCGGCGGAATCGTTCGCTCGAAACGATACGCCCGGCACCACTTGTTGGACCGATGATAATATTAGTTTTGCGGTTATTCTCGCTGGCAACTGCGCTGTTGATAAAACACATTTACTCGAACCCTCGGTCCACGATATGGTCCCTATTGTTTCGCGTTGTTCTCCGAGTTTTTGTACGGGATCCGGTTGACAACCTTCGCGCCGCGATTTTGACGCTTTGTTACTCGACTCGTGGGAAATTTCATCGGGACAATGCGCGCGACACTTTCGATTCTTTCGGCGAATTTTAATTCGACCTTCGAATTTTCCACGCACCCCGTTTCCCGATATTTTTATCGCTGCGTTAAAATTTTTAGTCACGCGTGCAGAAAGTTTGGAGACCCATCTCGGAAAGGACGCAGCTTTAATTACCGTTCGCAGTAGGCGTTTCGTCTGATAGAATTTTTACCAAAGGCCGAGATACTCGCCGCTAGTCTAATAAGCCCGAAGTGAATTTTTTGAAAACGGTCTCGTGACCGAGATCGGCGGAGTTGTATGAAAATGTGTCGCCCGGTGACGGCATCGCGACGCTCGTACGCGGAAATTGAAGTGTACGCGAACAGCTCGAGTTGCCAGACTACTCGTTAACTTTATCCCGTTTTCGGACTGGCCGTGCACGCTCGTCGTGGAAGAAGGAATTCCCTTCGAAATTCTGGCGCCTCTCGCCTTGGAATTTTATCACTAGCTGCCGCGAACCAGGTTCGAATTAATGGTTATTTTATTCATACGAGGCGGCTTGCTTCCTTTTGTTCCCGCTGTATTTCGTAGTCCGATTGTCCGCGACAGAAATTCGTGATTAATCGCTTCGGTTCTTATCTACGCCGAGTCCGATTCAAACGATGACGGAAAAACCGTCCGCGCTTTCTTTCATTCAATTCTCGCTCCGGATTCATTCATTATCCTCCCGCGAAATGCGTCGTAAATAACATTTCTCCTCGCAAAGAAGTATATTAGCACGAACGGTAAGAAGCATCGTTAAGAGTGCTCCCTCGGATACCGGATCATTTCGAACTTCCAGCCAATGATTCCCCTAACTCCTATCTCCTTCTTCCCTCGGACCAGCTTTCGTTTAG